TTGACATTCACAAATACATAATGGCTGAAATCGAACCTAGATTTTGTAAATGATTTATAACATGTTTGTATTACATTTTTGCCACTACAACTACAATCACGCGTTTGAGGAAAGAAAATATTTCTTACTTTCATGTTTCATGCATTGAGAAGGCGTATATGTGAAAATTATCTCAAACAAAAACATTTTATTTTCAAGTGTCAGAATTTTGAAGACAATGCTCGTAAAATAGAAATGGGGAAATACTTAATTTAACTTCTGACCCTTGATCTATTAATTAATATATAACTAAATCTTTTCGCCTATGATGTTGAAATTAAACATGTGAATATTATTCCCGTATGGCTCTATCTTCATGTGGTGGACTGTATTACCAAAAGAACAAACGTGTAGACATCACGTTGCCGAACTATTTGACCATAAATGTGGATGCATGGTATTGCCATTTTGATAATGATAAAGTATGATAATGCTGCACTATCTCTTTCCTAATTCAACTATAAGCCCTTCCGTACTAAGACACCCAAGAAAACGACAACTAAATAAATTGTAGGGCCAATTGGATTGGGTAGGACACATGGCACAGGCCTCGAAGTGACCTTAACCAAGATCCATGCATGCACTTGGGAGTTGAGACTTGAGACCGACCAAACTAGTGTTATCTCAATCTCAAAATAAACAAATATATATTACGGTGTGACAAGTGAGAATTTCTAAAGAGAATAAGATTGATGATTGATCCAGGGCTAGGGGAGGGATGGGCGAAAGTGCACTCAAGGATTTCGAATTTTGGAGGTTTTTGAGGTCATGAGGAAGAAGAGGCAATAATGTCCATGTGAAGGGTGATGAAATTATCCTTAGTATTATAGGAATCAAATCTCAAATTCCCTGTTTTTCTACAGAGAAAGGATATATAGTGAAGTTTCAGAGAAAAGATGGTAGTACCAGTGGGTATTGTCTAATCAACAACCATATCCTATGCAATAATATTATGTATTATGGGGCCAACAACACCAATCTTGAAATTCTTGATCCACTAGCTTTGCAGTGACCTTCGTAAGCTACTTCGTGCTACACAAGATGTTTCATTTTTTTATTTATTTAAAAAAACAATATTATCCCTTTTTTCAAGCTATTCGATTAATAAATGGTAGAAACCATTCTAATTAATAACTGACAAGTGTCAAATACACTATATTTCTTGGATCAAAGATATGTTAAATAATGTTAAAAATGATCAAGAACATAGTATAAATTAATTAAATGCAAAAGAATTAGAGTTCTAATATTTGAATATGATTCTGACTTCGTTTTGTGTTATTTTTAGGTTTAATATGATAAATTATAATTATGAAGAATTATTGAAGTTGGAAGATATGAAATTCAAGAAGAATTGAAGAATTAAAGAAAAATCAGTATTATTATATGCTAACTCACTTGCTAGAACAAGCGAGCAATTGAGCGAGATGATAAAATTACCTTGCCAACTTGCTCGAACGAGCGAGAAATTGAGCGAGATATCTAATTTAGATCGCCAGTTAGCTTGAACGACCTAGCAACTGAGCGAGCAGCGTCAGGCTAGCCTATTCACATTCCTAAAATATAAATTTGCAAGGGCAAAAACACAAAACAAATATATATATATATTTTTTTGATAACAAAAACAAATATATTTAGTATAGGGGGAAAATGTGCTCTCTCTCTCTCTATATATATATATATATATATATATATATATATATATATATATATATAGGGGCAGGATATTCTTACACCGGTGTAAAAGTTAGAAGTCTTACACTAAATCTTGATCATTGATCCACTTGTATCTAATAGCTCACATTACTAAAAAAATTAGAGCCCTTAGATATAAATGAGATCAATGGTCAAGACTGAAAGTGTAACTTACACTAGTGTAAAATGATCCTGACCCATATATATATATATATATATATATATATATATATATATATATATATATATATATATATGATTCTTTAACATCGGTGTCAAAATTTGAAATTTAACACTAAATCCTAACCGTTTTCGCCCATCAACGATTGTTATTTATTGGGAATCAATAATTAATTAATAGATTTGATTCTCAATAAATGTTAGTCGTTGACTGGCGAAAATTAATGGTTAAGATTTGATATCAAATTTCAAAGTTTGACACTGATATCAAAGGATCCTGCCCTATATATATATATATATATATATATATATATATATATATATATATATGACTTAGGATCATTTTACACCAGTGTAAGTTACACTCTTAATCTTGATCGTTATTCCCACTTATATCTAAGGGCTCTAATTTTTTTAGTAATGTGAGCCATTAGATCAATGCTCAAGATTGAATGTAAGACTTCTAACTTTTACACCAGTGTAAGAATATCCTACCCTTATATATATATATATATATATATATGTGTGTGTGCTTATTATTTCTCAAGCTGCTTGAGACAATGTTATCTCCGGCTACTAAATCATAACCGTACAAAAATGGATCAATGGTGATAAAGAAAGAGAGAGAAAAAAGGAATCATAATCATTCAAAGGTAAATCAATTAATATAAGAAAATAAATAAACAAAACGACGTAGTTTTGGGATGGCCGGAGATAACATTGTCTCAAGCAATTTGAGAAATGTTTTTTCATATATATATATATATATAGGGAAAAATGTTTCTGCAGTTAATGCAGATAAGTTATCTGCATTTATTCCCAAAATAATGTTGTTTTGAGATTGAAATCTTAAAAAATTATAAATATAAAGACTATTATAACCCTAAAATAAGTTAAAATTACAAAAATACTATGATTTCTGTCTCAAAACGACGTCGTATTGGGCTTACTGCAGATAATTATCTGCAATAACTGCAGAAAAAACGATAATATATCTATATATATATATATATATATATATATATATATATATAGGTTTTATTTATCTTAAGTAACAACAAAATCACAATATCTCCAGCCCTCACATCGGTAAGTGAGCCACTCCCTCTTTTTTTCGTTTTTTTTCTCTCACCTTGGTGGGTCCCATTTTTGAATGTGTATGCAGGAACAAAAGTTTATTTTGCTGTTACTTGAGAGTAATAAACCCATATATATATATATATATATATATATATATATATATATATATAATAATGCGAGAACTTGAATCACATTCGAACAAACATAATACGTTCTACTTTTTAACAGGGAATCTCATGCAATGCAATTATTGACTGTACTCAGTATGACAGTATGTGGGTGTTTAAGGGGAAACTTAGAAAACCTATAGCATGTATTCTAATTATATAAAACGTGAATATCTCAAAATTTGTTAAGATATATAGTTTCACATTGGTTGTATGAGCCAACTAGTGTGGAGTTTATAAGGCTTTGAGCACTCCCACTTTTTGAGCTAGCTTTTTGGGTGTTGTATCCCAAAGTTCTTTACATGGTATCAGAGCCTCGTGTCCTGGGTTCGATCCTCGCCGTCCCTCACTTTCTTTCGAGTGGAATTTCTTTGTTCGCACAGGTAGGTGGATCTGTGCATTGTTCATCCTTCAAGCCCAGTGAACTCTCGTGTGAGGGGCGTGTCTTTAATAGAATAATGAAAGACTACTCTCAGCATCCGGTGTCTTTAATGGAAATATCATTATTCTATTAAAGACTACTCTCAGCCTCAGGTTCTCAGCCAAACGTTTTTGTTGATACATAATATTTTGAACTCATGGTTGAATGGCTTGAGACTTTCTCTAGTAACAATTTATCATGAAAGGAGTATTCCACTTTCAGCAATGAGCAATTTATCAGTGTTATTTGTACAATGCTGTTTACTGACGTCTTCAAAATGTAAGCTAATTTCTAAATTAAGCAAGTAAAAGTGTATTAAAACACCGTAACAAAACTCGCCTCAACTTTAATGGGACTCCTCCCCTCCACCCCCCTAAATTAAAACATTCAAAATAAAGTATGACTGATAATCGCTACTGGGAATAAATATCTATAATTTGTGATACTTGTATTTTATGATATTTTGAACTATTTTTTAGGTTATCAATTATGTACCACTCATTTACCAAAAAATAAAATAAAATTATGTACCCGACCTTTAAAATAAAATAATTTTTCTTATTTTGTTCGCTATAACCTCGTATAAATTATCCAAGTCACTTACAACTATATAATTTCTAAAAGCTTAAGATGCTATTATCTTAGGAATTGTCTTTCCTACATCAAATTAATACTTTAGTAGTAATTAATTCCATCAATTTGCAATTAATCCCATCAATTTCATCTTAACCAATTTAATGAAATAAATTTGCATTCAACGACCATTTTCATGTGGGAAAATTATTCTTATATACAATATTTTTAACACTGTTACTTAATGCGTGAGATATGCTCGAACGCTTCTGCGCGATCGAGTATGTACTACATTGTTTAAGGCTTTTTATTCTTGGATTAATTTAATACACACCAATCTCAAGAAATGCTATTAACTGATGGATACAAATTCTCTTGCTCACAAATACTCGTGTGTTAACAAGCAATTCCAAGCAGACCTGCAATACAGCAACTCCCTTGATGTACTTATTAAGATATGAAACGTAAATCAAACTAAAATAAACATTCACTCTAAATATGTGCGAACACACTCTTTTCAGGCCCAAGACGTTACCTACTTATCGTAGCAGTCATTGTTCTCGCTTATTGATTTCAGGACCAACTAAACTTCATGGTTATTATAACTTAGAAAGGCAATGTAAGTAGCGTCTACCATCCCCAGCGTCAGCGAGTTGAAGCAACAGAAGGTATCAGACATTAATGTTTCTATTTATGGCTTACACAACTTTTATCATTTAGGGGGATATCCAATGCTATTTATAGTTTACACAGTGACGAATGATAAAATCATACCAGTCAACAGATTCTTTCATACTGAGCTATCTGTGCAGGATAACGTTCTTAACAAATTGATATAAGAAACAAATTATTTATACATTTTTGTACCCTAACACTATTTATTAAATGCATATATTGTAAAATGTGTTATCACAATTAAATACATATTATTTATTAAATACATATTCTCTTTTAGTGGGAATATAAATAAATTGTATTATCAAACACATTTCCCCCCCTAAAAACTCTTCCTAAGCCCCCCTAAAAAAAAAAATTAATCTCTCCTAAAACAAAACAAAAGAGCAGAATGATTGTCATACACATCACTGGCTCACTCCTCCATAACACTTAATGTGCTGCTTCTGTTAATGAACTCAAGGAACTTATTAGAGACTCGTATACCTGTATTCCATTCATGTACACAGTATCTTGTAGGTGCTGCAAGTGAAGGTCATGGGAGTTAAAAAATACTACAGTAACAGAGTTAGTGAAATGAGACGAGAGTTGCACAATAACCAAGAAATACAAGAATTGTCAAACCTCGTTGTGGTCATGAAGCAAGATGGGAGTATTTATCATTGGGGAGAAACCGAGTACAGGAATTCCTTTTTGTCTAATGAATCGAGCATCAGTTGTGGATGCAAGAATTTCAGGCCTTGACAGTTTTCCTCCAGCTGATGTGATAGCCTGCTTGAAAACTGACCACCATGGATTGGAATCATTAGTCGCAGTCATTAACGGGCGCCCCATGTAGTCTCTAATGGGTCCTTTCTGTATAATCTGCCATATTTGGTTGCCCAAAGACAGAGAACAAGAACGTCATGAGTACATTAATATCTCTTTCTTTCTTAATATCAATAAATCAGCGAGAAAGAATAAAGAGGTTCAACCCTCTTAATCTACATTTGGTGCACTTGATAGTATAAATGATCATATAAATGAATAGGATAGTAAAAAGGAGCTGATAAGCTCTTATACTATCAAGTATGTAGTTACTATTATATAAGTCAAAATAATGGAATTGATTCTTTCATATCTCATTTAAAATGATCAGATCATATGAACCGATCTCAGCTGTCCATAAATAAATTACAGTGTGCCTTAACTTGCAGTGCTAGATTCCTTTCAGCAGGCCAGTCCCTTACCTGCAGTGACTCTTTCAAGCACTTCTACTTCTTTTTAAATGAGTCCTTCCAGCTGCAAAGTCACTGTGTTGTCTCTTGAGCTCGTTTTCTTTTAATACTTTTTGAATCCCATTAACAGAGTCCATCATATTTCGAAGTTGTTTCTTTTTGTAAGTGTGATTATTTGTAATTAGGTCAAGTAGTGATGTAGTACTATGATACGATCCTAGTCAGCAAAAAGGGTATTCTGTTAGAAGGTGCAACACATGCAAGGAGTGGAATTGATCCAGCCTAGCTGACGTGGATAACAGAATTGGAGAGATTGTTTAGGAGGGTCTGGTTGGTTAAATAGGATAGTGTGCATTGGTGTAAGGCATCTTGGATATTGCTTGGACCTTGGACTTTGGGAGAGAGTAGAGCCTCTCCAATTGCTCTACATTATCCTTTTCTTCTTTCTGCATTTTTTTCGTTATTGTTACTGTAACTTCCATAGAACTACACTTTTCTTGTTATTGTAATTTTCATTACTGAAACACTGTAACGGTGGATTCATATCAATATACATTTCCATAGAACTATCTTTTCTTCAATCTGTTCTATTGTTCCCTATCAAATTGGTTGGTCCGTATCAAATTGGTATCAGAGCCCTCCGATCTAGGGAGGGTTTTGAACCACATCAATCCAAAAAAACAAAAAAAGAAAAAGAAAAAGAAAAACAAAAGAAAAGAAAAAGAAAGATGGAATACAGATCTGAAGATTGGAGGAAAAGTGAGATGCAATTGGAAAATAGATTTGAAGAATGGAGAAAAAGAGGAAGGCAAGTTGAAGAAAATCATAAGGAGATACTCAGGCTCCTTGATGAACTTCTTGAGAAGACCCAGCAACTCTCTAGAGGGCGATCACGCACAAGAAGGAGCGGCAAAAGATTTGAGGAGAACAAGACGAACGAAAATCTGAGTCGATTTCAACCAGAAGCATTAGACGATCCCTATAGAGCGTTAAACTCGCTTAAACAGAACGGAACGGTGGCTGAGTTCAGATGCGAGTTCGAGAAGGTAATCGGAGCTTTGCGAATTGAAGACGAGGAGCTGCTTAAAGGGGCATGGCTTAATGGTGTCAGAAGTAGCATCCGTGCAGAATTACTGAGGTACCCAGCAATCAGCTTGAGGGAGATGATCAAGTTCTCTTTGAAGATAGAGAAGAGGAATATGGCAGGGATGGAGGAGGGGCTGAGCGCAGGCAGCAGGGCTGCCATGAGTGGGCTGAATAGAGGGGTTCAGGCCCAATGTCATAGCAACAGCCCATATGAGAGTAAAACTTGGGGGTTTTCTGGTTTGGGTTCTTTCAACCCAACGCCCACGGGTCGGGTTAAGAAGCGGCCCAACTCACTTAACACTAAGACTGCAAGTTTCCAAAATGTTAGGGTTGCAAACGAAGATGGCTCAAAGAGGGAAGCTACGAAGGGAACCATAAACACCATTAACCAAGCCGACGACGGTGGTCGCACATCAGCAAGCCAAGCGAGCAACACTCTACGCCTCTCACAAGCGGAGTTACGAGATCGACAAAGATGTGGATTGTGTTTCAAAGGTGATGAACATTGGAACCCAAACTATAGGTGTGTCTTGCGCCCGCTGCATTTGTTGGTGGTGGACGAAGATGCTAATGTAGTGACGGAATCACTTGCAAAAACGATCAATGTTGACGAAACTCAGCGTGAAACAGAAGGAAATTCAGAGATGGCTTTGCAACTCTCCATGCAAAGCCTATTTGGGAGCTCGTTACAAAACGTGGGCCAAATTGCTAATCTATCAGGTTGGGCTTGCGAGCCCATGCAAGAACCCAAAACTAGTGGCCCAAAACGAGAACTCGTCCTTAAAGAAAGGATGAAAGGCTATGCGGAAACGACACCATCATTGAGTATGCATCAGACCTCGTTTACCAACAATATGAGCCCCATGCGGAGTGCTGTAATGGCGGAAGGAAGGGTGAATGGCGGTTTGCCAAAAAATTGTGTTGCAGTTGTGCCCAAGGACACACCCTTCGCCCTTTCAATTGATTCGCAACAGGTCAGCCAATCTGTCCTTGGAGCCTGGCTCATTGTCCAACTAGATGGAGACAACACATGGAAACCTTGGAGCTGTCTTGAAGCATGGTGTGAGCTTGGCAACTCTGAAGTAATCAAATATCATATCGAGGTATGCAATTGGCCCTTTGATGTTGAAGAAAGAAAACAATTTTGGAAAGGACATTTGTACATTGAAGAGGAATTCAAGAAGGCTGTTGGGGTTCAATGGCCTAAAACTAGTGCGAAATTTGTGGGGTTTTGCAGGAATTATTCTTTTGACATCTTGGAACAAAATCATAATAGGTTTGGCATAGTTCATGAAGATAAATGGGGTATTTTATATGTTGAAGATTCTGATTTTTTGAGAATTGAAGGCACACAAGAATATTCACTGCCTAGTTATGTGAACAGGAGGAAAGGTATATTCGGAACAAGGCATTTTTCTACTGTTATTAATACTGTTCATCAACTTGATGAGGTTGTTCTATCTGCTACTAGTAATCTGATAAAGGGAGCTCATGTTACTAGTTTCAATTGGGTAGATAAGGGTTCAAGTGCAGAAGTTGAGTGGGACCCTGGTGGGCACTCTTATGTTTTAGAAATCCATTGGCCTATATTTTTCACACAGTGGGATCCCGGTGGTGGAGGTTACATAGCCTCGTGCATTAGCTGGCCATTACATTTCAAGCAATGGGATCCCGGAAAATGATCATCACCTTGAGGACAAGGTGATTGTTAGGGGTGGAGTATTGATACGATCCTAGTCAGCAAAAAGGGTATTCTGTTAGAAGGTGCAACACATGCAAGGAGTGGAATTGATCCAGCCTAGCTGACGTGGATAACAGAATTGGAGAGATTGTTTAGGAGGGTCTGGTTGGTTAAATAGGATAGTGTGCATTGGTGTAAGGCATCTTGGATATTGCTTGGACCTTGGACTTTGGGAGAGAGTAGAGCCTCTCCAATTGCTCTACATTATCCTTTTCTTCTTTCTGCATTTTTTTCGTTATTGTTACTGTAACTTCCATAGAACTACACTGTTCTTGTTATTGTAATTTTCATTACTGAAACACTGTAACGGTGGATTCATATCAATATACATTTCCATAGAACTATCTTTTCTTCGATCTGTTCTATTGTTCCCTATCAAATTGGTTGGTCCGTATCATACTACTACTAATACAAGCTATTACAAGCCCGAGTCAAGAAATGAATAAGACTCCTAACCCTATTCAATAAAGAAGCAAATAAGGAAACATACTGAAATTAGGAAACAGCTCCTAAGATTGCTTCCTTAATTAGAAGACTAATTGAATCCACGATATATTCCAAAGCTACTATAAAATATTCTAAGATACACTAAAGATATTGTAAGATATTCTAACACTTGTAACAACCTCGAACCAAATGTTCATCAGTTTGAGGGAGAGTTAGAATATTAAGAATTTTATTGATGTTAGGAGTGTTATTGGCCTGAGCTTGTACTCGTTCTATTATACTCACACTTCACTTAGATTATTTGTATCACAACTTTACAATATTCAGAGTTCAATTACTTATATATTAATATTATCTCTTTTCTCCTTTCCATCCAATCCTTAAATTACTACAAGGTGTATCCAGAATCCAAATTGAAAAAAAAAAGAATACAAAATAAAAATATCTAATACACAAAAGCCTTAAAAAATGACGTAAATGCAGAACAATGCTTCTGTTCAGGAGTGTAACTGTATCAGCGGACCTTACCAATCCCATAGGCAGCCCATCAATTACAATAGACACAAATTCAGTAAAGTCAGAAATGCAAAACTGTGCCATTCAAGTTTCCGATGCAAATAAAGCACATAATAATGTTCAGAGCCTAATATTTCTTGCCTTTCAACAGGAAAAATTTATAGAACATGCATATTATAAAAGAATTAAAAGTTTAAGACATACATAAAAGAAAATATGTTTGTTAACAAACTTTACAAACTTCTTAGTTGTTAGAAATGCAATCCCTAGACTGCAATTTTGTGTTAGTTCATTTGTTGTATCAAGTATCAACTACCCATTTTCTTGAAAGATTACCTAGCAAAGATAAAAACAGTCACGCTATTCTGCTAATCGAGTTGCTGTCATATTTTCAGACCTCTACTATCGTGAACGTAAGATTGAGCTATACAATGGGAATGGAGTTGCAAATGTATAGCCCATGTTTTTTCATACTCTGTAATTATAAATGACAGCAATGCAGAATAATCTAAGACTACAGTACCGGATGAATGACTCAATACCCCAGCAGGGGACATCTAAACTCCTACTTGAATGGAAAAAGCAGCCAACCAGGGCTGAAACCCACTTTATAATTATTATAAAAAACGATAGATTATCTCTTTTGGACTAAGATGTAAGGGATAGGTTATATTTATAAAATTTTTGTTTACAAACTACACTATGTATTCCAGGGAGTACATTATCATATATAGTATTATACAGTACATTATCAAATATTAGATGGTATTATTTTATACAATACCATGTCAAACGCTGGATAGTATTAAAATTCAATCAGGTCTTATACAATCAGGCCTTATATTATCAGGTCTTATACTATCAGGCCTTATCCTATACTATGCACCAAACATGCCCTTAACTGTTTGTTCTCTCCGGAGTACATAATGTAGTTTGTAATCAAAAAGTTTGTAAATATAACTATGCTCAAGACGTAAAGAGTGGCATAAAACTCCACTCAAAGTCCACACGCTGGTTATAAGTTTTCTAATTTTTCCACATTCTACACTTACTAGATCAACATATAGAAACAACCTAGCTCAAAAAGCAAAAATCACTAAACAGATAAACAACTCATCACCTATTTTGAATTAAGATCCAAAAGCCAAATCAGATTTTTCATAGAGATCTAACCTCATATGACATATTTCTAACAGCCGGTGCCCATTCCGCAGCAATTCTCCTTCTCATTTCTTCAGGATCCGTCATAGGGGTTAACCTAAGATCAAAACCAGCTTCTGCTTCCGAAGGTTGCACATTCATGACAAATCCCTGCAAAAACACATCACACACAATTCATTTCAAAAACAACCAATACAACACACACACACACACACACACACACACACACAAACACACAGAGAATCACGCATCACACAACTCACATCTTCAGAGGCAACCCCAGCTTTCACATAAACAGGATTAACCGAAACAACCTCGGAATTAGAAGCTTTCCCAGCCTTAACCACATCAAACTGACTCTCCCTAAACCTAGTCAGAATATCAATGCTCTTCATCAAATTCTCCATCGCACTGTTATCATACATCCTAGAACCGTGTCCAGGTTGCCCCTTCGCCTTGATCTTCAACCCCCAGGGAAACCTATCAGCGTAGAAAACCCTAAATTCATCCCCAGGCGAGGCCTGCCCTTCGTCCAACGCAAACCCAACGTTCAAACCCTCAAACTCCTTCGACTCAACGAACTTGGCGGCGCCGTCGAAGCCGCCGATCTCCTCGTCGGGAACGAGGGACACGTGGACGGTGCGCAGGGGAGTGAAGCTTTTGTTTTTGAGGTTACGAATTGCCTCGAGGTACTGCATGGCGATGCACTTGTCGTCCTGGGAGCCGCGAGCGAAGATTTTGCCGTCGGCGGTGCGGGCGGCGGAGAAGGGCGGGTGGAGCCACTTGTGGGGCTCAGCGGGGACGGAGTCGATGTGGGAGTTGAGGAGGATGGAAGGAAGGGAAGGGTTGGAGCCGGGCCATGAGAGGAGGAGAAGGGGCTTTCCAGGGGAGAATTCTAGGGTTTGGTGGCGGAGGCCGATGGAGTGTGCTTGGGATTTGAGGTAGGCAACGGCGGAGGAATAGTCTGGGTTTGGGTGTGCGGTGTTGATTCGGAGGTAGCGTTGGAAACGAGTGATGGGATTGTCTTCTTCTTCTTCTTGGGTTGCGTAGAAGAGAGAAGAAGATAAGAGGAGAGTGAGATACAAGAATAAGAAACCATAGTAGTAAGAGTGTAGGGTGGCCATGGTCCTACTCATGAAGAAGAGCGAGCACCCCTTAACATTATTAGGAAAAACAATCTCAATGATTGTTGATTATTACTGTCAACTTTCCACATTATACCAAAAATTAATTCATTTTTAAATTGACATGAAAAAGTTCTTGTCGTGTTATATGTTAATCCCCTGATGCAACAATGATCCATTTTTTTTTTTCGAGGTTATTCGTATTGTTGTTTTGGCCTTTGGGAGTTACTAGTGTAATATCAATCCACATAAAAATAACCCATGTTAGCAAATTCAACTTTTGGTTCAGTCTGCTTTTGTGGCCTCAAAGTCAACAAGGCGCGTGGAGTAAGGGCTTTGTTTGTGTGGCATCTCTTCTTACATGGACTTGGCATCGTGAATCTGATTGGTCAATGCCAAGCCATGTAGGCTTCATATGCGTCACCACCACCACCAGATCTCTTGTTTCACGCGCACCCCTAGTCCTTTTAGACAAACACAAACATTAACTGCTGAACCTACCCGAGACGGCGAGACCCAATATCTCACAAAAGAGAAACACTCACCTTCACCTCAACCAAACACAAGACACAACGAACACTCAATTTTAATATTCTCTTCCTGTTTGCCTTTGTCTCGGAGAATTGAGAAACTTAGATCTGAGCCCCGTAATAAAACACTGTCTATCTGATTCGAAGGTCAACCTTCGCTAATAATGGCGAGGGACATGAACTTCAGCTCTGGAACTGGAATGGGTATGCTGCTGCTGCTGCTGTTATGCTTCACCACTCTTTCTCATGTGCTGCCACGAGTAGAGGCTGTGTGGTTAACCATCCCCAGTTCGGGAACTAAGTGCGTGTCAGAGGAAATCCAGACACACGTGGTTGTTTTAGGCGATTACTATGTTGTAACTGATGAAAGTCCCCAGCCCCATACAATTTCTGCCAAAGTATGTTTTATTATTAGTCTTCCCCTACCAACAACAAAATTTCATGTTTTTTTGATTCAGCTGGTTGATTTAGAATATTAGATACTTCTCTTCTTGTTTAATTCCTAATGCATTCATGTTGGTCAATTTGATAACTAACAGGATACTTCTTAGTCAAATGAGTCATGGTCGATGATGAATCTCAGTAATGCTGTTTGTTTTCAATTTTCATAACCAGTGAACACTATGAAATTGCACAAATTTCTGGCTTGATTTAATGCTATCCACATGCCCTGTAGCAGATCCATAACAAGTTGAAGACTTTGAGATCTCCTTTTTTTTTTTTAGTTAACCCAATCCAAATTACTTTTTGAGGTAAGTTGGCTCCCCTGCTATCCCCACAGGTTTCGATTCTTTGAATTGTCTACGGAACTAATCCAAAATACGGGGCGAGTCAGAGATGAAGATATTTAAATTCCTTCCAAAGATGACATGTGCGAATTAAACCGAAACCCTTTCTTTTTCACTTACTAAGCTCCCTTGCTACCAACTGATTGACCTGAGATCTTCCTTGTTCTTATGTTCTATTGCTGTGAATTAAGGATATTAGTTTTAAGGTGTTAGTATGACATTAAAGTATTCATATTGATCATCAGCTTCTATTTAATTTATTTGATTTTCCAGGTAACATCACCTTACGGAAATAACCTTCACCATCACGAAAATGCTACACAAGGTCAGTTTGCATTTACAACTACCGAGAGTGGGAGCTACGTGGCGTGCTTTTGGATTGATGGTCAACATCAAGAAGGTGCAACTGTCAGCCTTGACTGGAAAACTGGAATTTCCGCCAAGGATTGGGAGTCTGTTGCAAAGAAAGAAAAGATTGAGGTAAAGCAATAAACCTAATTCATGCTCTGTCGTTGCCTTTGTAATATGTAAATGGAATTTATACATGTTTGAACTTTATCTATTATTATTTGCTTAATGTATTTAATTCTTTTGCGTCGGTTCAAGGGTGTTGAACTTGAGCTCAGGAAACTTGAAGGATCAGTGGAAGCCATTCACGACTATCTTATTTATTTGAAGGATAAGTAAATAATCTCTTACTCTAAACTTTTATGTTTGATTTCAATTTTGAAAAAAGGAGAGGTTATATTTACAATATATTTTTGCATACAACCTCCTTTTTATTCTTGATCAAAATTAAATTATCGGTTACAAAATGACATCAAGTGAGTGCTCTAGATTTCATTTTGATTCAAGGATAAAGAAAATGGTGGTAAAAAATTGTAAGCAAAAATAAGTTATAACTCTTAAGTATAACCTCCCTTTGAAAATCAGGGTGCATTTTATTTTGATACAGTTGTGACTTGTGAGGCATTTATGAAGTTAGTTTCATTTTTTGTACCAAAAAAGTCAGGTTCTATCTAATTTTTAAGCACTTCATTATGCATCACATTACACCTAGAACGTATGTAACCATCCGTATGATAAAATGTTTCTTTATAGGCCTATTGTGCTACCCTTGGCAAACAAGAAATGACTATTTAATGTCTCATCCTCAACAGTAACTGCTAACCATTATGCTTGATTAATGCATGTCAAAAATAACTTTTCTTGGACTTTTCTACAGGGAAGCAAAGATGAGGGCAGTCAGTGAAAGAACAAATGGTAGAGTAGCTCGGTTTAGTATCATGTCTCTTGGTGTCTGCCTTTTGGTTTCGGCGTTGCAGCTGTGGTATCTGAAGCGCTTCTTTCGAAAGAAGAAGCTCATATAGATATAGATATTGTTTTCTTTTGAGACTTCTCAACAAACAGATGATGATGATGATTGATTTTCATAATTGAGCATAAGCTATATCCGTGAATTCCTTCACTGTGTCACTTAGAAATATCACTCATCATTTCTAAATGTTTGTAGCAAATGATTTCTCATGACCGAAAACCCATGTTCTCAGTTATGAAGATGGAACTGAATCATGTTTAACACAACAGCTGATTGAGAAAGAGAAAAGTCGGTGGTGACGTATTACATTTTCATATTGAAGTAGGAAATGCTCAAATGGAATACTATTCAATCCTTTTTACATTTATCAGACATTCAATAGATGGTGAGGAAATAAAAGCAGTAAGTACGTAGTAAAACTGGAAAGATATACAGGTGACTTTATATGTTCATTATTGTGTAATCTTCTCTAGTGTTAATTTTTATCATCCCTAGTCACATGCTGTCTTTGTTGTGCAACAAATTTTAACCTTAAAAATGAGGTAAAAACGTTCGAGTTATATGGAAAAACCTATTTAAGGTTTTTTCATCCCCAATTTTTTCGGATACCCAAATCTTATGAGTGTAATTAGAGTTATAGAACTTGTGTTTTGGTCCAAGAGTTGGAAATTTTAATATAGCCTATGCTTACCTGGGTTTTTATATGAAAATTCCACTCGTGAATTTTACTTGGAGATTTGAAACTAGTGTTTTGGGACAGAGTGTAACAGGAATGTTAGCAACGCATATTTGACATACTTTTTTCGCACGCTTTATTATTAGATGAATCTAGCGCTCTCCTCACTAGATAATTTGAGCCTACTCTTTACTAGAGGGGTTAACATGAAATTTCGTTCGCTAATAAAAAAAGTTTCTGAAAGTGTATAGCTCGCATTTCGAAGAGTTCAAATAAAAAGTGTAAACTTTACTAAAAAATAAATAAAATAAAAAAATAAAAATAAAGTGTTGAACAATAAAGCATACAACTTTTATTTACAGAAACTCATTACATTTACTTTCACACACTTGCATTTTATTAAAATTACTTTGACTTATATCCACTTCCACTATTTATTCTCTCAGTTCTTCTAAACTTGTTGCTACTTCTCACTTATTGTTACTTCTCCACTTGTTGCTTCCAACTTAGAGGTAGGTACTCCTATTTATAGTTGCCTTGTGAGGTATCTAGAATACTCTAGATTCTTCTTCATCTTCCATTGGCTTCTAGATCTTTCTCTTAGTTTCTTCATTCTTCAATGTCTCTAGATTCTTCTCTTAATTTTTTCAATCTTTCTTAAGTTTCTAGAAGCTTCCATAGGTTTCTAGAAGATTCCATAAGTTTCTACAAACTTCTACAAGTTTCCGTAAGTTTCTAGATTGGTATAGCAAATCAGTTTTGATAATTGTAGGCTAATCTAGATTGGTGGTGGAGAAATTCAAATTGAGTTTGATTTCTAACATAAAGCACAAGTATATTGATCAATTGGTAAGGAGTTGTTTTAGCTAGATTAGTGATTTCAAATTTGAATTTTTGAAAACACAGCTGTGTTAATACTTAATAAGGAGAACTTTGAGGGGCGTTTGGTATAGGTTTTCTGTTTAGATACCTAGGTAACTTCAAGTGGTATTTTCATCTTAGCATGTTTGGTACAAGAGTTCCACAAATTTAACCAGCGAAATCGTTTACCCAGGCATGGTGAATCGTTTGCAAAAATTGATGTAAAATACTGTTCCAAAAAATCAGAAGGAGGGTGGTATTTCTGGCTTAGATGGGAAAGGAAGAATTGGGGGCGATGTTGGAGATGAAAATATCCCTCGTTTACTATTGAAAGTGGAGTCTCTTTCCTCACTTGTTTTGTACGTGTGCAACAAGCAAAAGATTTCAGAGATAAGGGAGCAACAATATTCTACAATTGGACATCCAAGTGATGTTGCATGTGCTGAAGAAGAGCCCGTTCTTGTCTCTCGTTTGAAACAACTTAGAAGCATCACTGAACAAAAGTTGATTGGTCTTATACCTGATTGGTCCTCTTTTGCACAAGCTTTGTAACGTCAATTTGAACCTTCGGAGTTTGATGACCCCGTCGCATCTCTATCTAAACTGATGCAAACTGGTAATGTCCTTGAATATCAAGCAACTTTTGAATCATATGCTAGCAGAGTTACAGGTTTATCTTCATCTCTCTTGGTAGAACAAGACAACCCCAACTATATACTGAATAATATTTTAATCAACGATTACATTTTTTTTTTCATATTCAAAAATAAAAAATGCTCTTTTTCGTAATTTACACTCATTATCCCATCAATATTTTACTTCAACCAAACATAGATTTTGTAAACTTAAATCAACTTTTCCAGTAATATTTAGCCCTACCAAACAACTTTTTTTTTCACTTTCCTACCAAACACATTTTTCCACTATTTTTTCAGTAATTATATTTTCCTAGTAAAAAAAATATCTCCTCTACCAAACGTCCCCTTAGTGTATATGTGATTCTATCCAACTTGAATTGAACTAGTCGAATAATTAATCAACCAATAGATAATATAAAAAATAAATGAATGAAAAGTATAAGTCTTTTACTAGCGCAAAAACTTTAGAACAAAAACATACAAGAGTTATGTACCCAAAAAAAAAAAAAAAAAAGAAGACATACAAGAGTTGAAAAGAGTACACTAGGAATTTTACTTGGTTCAAAAATTAAGAACTATATAGTTTCCTATGTTCAATAGACTCCCCTGAACAATTACACTAATGAGAAAAACAGGTTATAAAATGTTCCAGGTACACAAAACAATGATCAATTTAAGCACGAACACAAAACCCCCAAATTACATGCACCAACCAAATCCTAATTTCACATGCAGGAATAAATACAACCTAATCTATTGAAAGACAATTAACAGCTACACAATAGAACGGTGCTACCAAGGATAACCAGCCACCGAGGATTGATATAGCCGAACCATAATGCTCCTCGCGAAGAAGCTTGAGCTTCATCCACAATCGAATTTGATTCAACACGATTGTGAAGCAACACTACCTGCAAAACAACACCCCTTAAAATCTTGCAATTACATGGCCCTGATTTCAAAATAGTTTGATAATAAATCTAGTTTAGCATCTATTTATCTTAAATTTTCAGAGTCTATTGATATAGTGGAATCCAAGATTCAAATATATTGAACAGCATATTGAAAACGGCGAATGTATAATTTGAAATTAAATAAGTAGCAATCAATGGAGAACTCTGTTAAGCTTCAAAACTTAATTCTCGACAAGTCTAACCACTATTTGATTACAGAAAATTGGACCAATTGTTTCACATCATTTTTTCTATGCGATCCCATCTACTCAATCATTAAAGTTTCATTTGTTGATTTTTAGTGGATTATGATAGATAAGAATTAATGCAGCATACGAGTCTAAAACTATTTCTGAAAAACATAAAAAGGAATTCCACCCACTGATTGATAAAAAAGATTGTAGTTTGTTATTGGTAGAATAAACTCTTATTAAGGCTAATTGTAAAGGTTTCTTATGTGTCACACGCAAAGGAGAAGATGATTAATAGATATTAAAAGAACGCAAATCCTTTTCTTACGTTGTCCGAAAAAAATTTTGAAAAAAAAAAAATATTATATACTATGGATAATACATAATTATAATATTAAAGCTAGGGATCTATTATTCTCAAAAAAAGAGATAATGAGTCCACTATTTTTTCAAAAAAAGAAAAAAAAGAAAAAATAGTGGACCCCACTATTTTGTCTCTGTTACATGAGATAATTATCTCATGCAACATGAGATAATTATTTTCCTTAAAGCTATTTTGCTTTTCTCTATCATCAGACATTATCGGCTGACGTCACGAAGAAAGAAAAAATAATTTTACCATTATAACTATGTACTGCCCGTAGACCGTAGTACACAGCTATAATGGGTTGCTGGAGGTAGGGGAGAAAGTGAACTGGGCTGGGCCTAGGGATGGCAAAAACGAGCCAACCCGTCGGGTTGGCTCGTAACCCGCACAAAACAATCCGGGTTGGGTTGGCAAAAATGAGCTGCCAACTCGATTCAGCCCGACCCGAGCCAACCCGAACCCGAACGAGCCAACCCGCAGGTTAAACGGGCTGGCTCGCGGGTTGTCTTTTTTTTTTTAATTAAAAAAAATTAAAAATGACAAGTAGAGGAGTCACGCGGACGGAAACACATTAACACATCACACAAACCCATCCTAACGACCCAGCCCTAGGTCCCCCACCTTGCCACCGTTCTTTCTTCCTTCCACCGACCCACTGGCGGTGCCGATTTCCTTCCACCGTTCTCTCTTCCTTCCACCATCAGTTCTCTACTTCCACCAACCCACCGACATCGCCGATTTGCCTTTCAGAATCGGAAAGGGTTTGCCACTTTATACAAGCTGGAGTTCGGGTCTTATAATTACTGATTAACTGGATCTGGAGCATTTGGTTCCGCTTTTCTCGTTCTTCACAAGTCTGATTGTTGGAGTTGAAGCCTATAAAATTTGATAGCTTTTAGCTTTTCAACTTCAATTATTTCCTCTTCTGTGAACTGCTAAACCGTGCATCATGAAGGATTGGTGATTGATTATTTTTTTCCATTAAATAATGGACAACCCAACAAAGAAAGTTTCAATTTTTTTTTAATTTTTTGTTTCTATTTTGAGATTTTCGTGTTTAATTGTTGGAATTGAAAACCCAGCAAATTCAATAGAGCTAGCTTGTCAACTTCAATTTTTATTACTTTTCATGATGTCATCTCCGGTAGGTATGTGTTGAAAAAGATTCGCTTGGCCAAGCAGACAGAGAAGTTCAAATGTACGGCACACCAAGAGGTTGGTGTAAAAACCCGCAAGCCAAAAACTAGCCAACCCGCAAGCATTATTTCAAGCTAACCCGTGATCCAATGTTTCGAGCCAGCTCTCAAGTTTTTTTCGAGCCAACCCGCGAGCCAATCCTAACCCGGCTCGGGTCGGGTTGGGTTGGGTTTTCTGGCTCGATTTTTTTTTCGAGCCAACCCTAACCCGACTCGATTTTTTCGGGTCAAATGCGGGTTGGGCCGGGTTGACCCATTTTGCCAACCCTAGCTGGGCCTAGCTTTATCCTGAAAAGCCTATGCTAAAAAATATTAATTTGACCTGACCCGATAGTATAGTACAAGTCTAACTGTTAGCCGACCTGTCTTGTTAGCATGTTAATTTTTAACTTTCAAGTAGAACATGAATCAAATTTACAAAATACTCAAATTTTGTTGTTAAAATAAAAACCACAATTTCAACGCTCAAACAAAATCATGAATCACAACAACAACTTATCACAATATGTTTTAAGTCACTTTCAGAAGCAAAATGCCCAAATTAAATAACATTTATTTCATTAGATTCAACAAATCAATCCATACTAAGTAAATTAAAATAACTGCATGGATCCAACAAATGCATTATGATGCTTGTAGTCACCAAAAACTTCTCATCATCGTTTGTTTGTCCCCTGCAAATACAATTCCAAGTTTACATAAGTTGGCAATCAATTTGTAAATGTAAAAAACAAAAAACAAGAATAAAGAATAGAAAAAAGAAAGAAAGATTAAAAACAAAAAACTTTTTTATACGTTTTGTTTTTTCTTCAAGTCATACTTATTACGTAGTCAATTTTCATCATATATTAAAGCTTGGATGGTATCTTCACTCAAGCTAGAACGATAAGCATCAATAACTCTTCTTCCAGCACTAAATGTTAATTCTGATGCTACTGTAGAGATTGATATAGATCTTCTACCACTTCCAAAGATAATATTGGTGGAGGATCGAACTTAGGTCCTTCCACCATTTACTCAATTCACATGCACCAACTAAAATATCACCATTTGGTATTACTATAAATAATATTATTTTATTTAATTTAAAATAAATAATATGATATAAGCTCGCCTGTAGGTTTATTGGCCCAACATGTAAAAAAAAGCTTATGGTCTGCTTTTTAAATAGTTTTTTTTTAAAAAAAATTCGGACCTATTCTACTTGACTGTATGTAATAGGTCGAACTTGACCTGATATAGGCTAGATTATAGATCCCTGTAAGCCGACCTAACTCACTTACATCCCTAGCCGAAGATAACTTTTTTCCATCTAACATGAAAAAAATGGAACCCTAAAAAGGAAAGCACTTTTAATCAGCTGAAAAGAATCAATAATGGTATTTCCCTTACCGGATGTCTAGACCACAATAATGCAAGAGCTTAGTTTTATTTTTTTGGTTCTCTTAGGAGATAGGTCGTTATTTGTTTGGTTACGAGACTCCTTTTTGCATTTCTTCACGCTCTTTTACTCATTATTTTAGAATTGTTCTCTTCTTTTCTCTTTTCTCTTTTCTCCATTATTTTTGAATTGCCCTCTTCTGTTTTTCTCTCTTTTTTCCTGTCTTATCTTAATTGTTGAGCTATGCAATTGCCCACCATATTCTTTTTTAAACATATGATATGATTATATTCCAAGCCTTTAATAATATTCAATCAATATTTTCGTGTGTGCACATCCTTCATAATGGTTCCCATGAAACTGATTGATAAAAAAGATTGAAGTTTATTATTGGTAGAAGGAAACATAATTGTTGTAGAGGTTTCTTATGTGTCACGCACCAGGGACAAGACTAGTTAGTAGATATTAAAGGCCAAGTACTTTTAATGAATTGAAAAGAATCAATAATGGTATTTTTCCCTTGACCAGACGTCTTGACTACAATAAAGCAACAGATAGTGATATTGTTCACTTTCTCAGCAGATAGGTCGTTCTTTGTATGGTATTAGACTCCCATTTGCATTCTTGGTGTTTTTCACATTCTTCTGCCCATTATTTTGGAATTGTCCTTTTCTTTTTTTCTTTTCTTCAAATTGATCTTTAACGATCGCTCCCTTTCTCCTTTTCTCCCTTATCCTAATTGCTGAGCTACGCATTAGGCCACCGTATACTTTTGTAAACATATGTTATATGTATAATATGACTATATTCCACGTCTTCTAAGCGATTGATACCAAAACCTCACAATATTGACCGCTTCAGCTAAGTAAGGTCTACATGCGATTTCCGAAGGAAGCCAAATCGGTTTAGCTATTGCTATTGGTTAATTCATGTTTTCGGTGGAATAATTGGGAAAAGGTTGTTCTAACTTAACTAGTGGTATTGAGTTAGAGTCTTAAGGAAAGTAGCTATGTTAAAACTTAATAAAGATGACTTTACCATCTATATGATCCTATCCGATTAGAATTGGATTAATTGAGTTATCAATGAACTTAAATATAATATAAAAGAAAAATGTTTTCAGTGGTTATCAGTTATTTGTGACAACTTTTTTTTGATACATTGAGAAATTGAACATCAACCTATTACATAATTATTCACACCCACTACTAGACTAATCCTAGTGACTTTGACTACACTTTCTTTAGTTATACAGCTAACTAGACGAGAATTGTCCTCGAAATGGCTATGCTTCGAAACCATCCACTAAATAGATAAAAAAAACAAATAAATACATAAATAGCCATAACTTTAAATGGCCAGTTTTCAAGGTGTTGTTCTCTACTACCAAGTACAAAATACATGTGATGAGTCTCACATTGTTGGTAATGAGTTAAGTGAAGTGGATATAAAAGGATGGACCCATGAACCCAATGCTTTAAAGTTTTGGGTTGAGATGTGATGTCGGACCCACTTGATACGGTTGGCCTAGCTTAGCTATTGATGGTTGTCCCTTGCCATGGGCTCTTCTTGGACCTGCTTGACAGTGGTATTATAGTCGGGTTGGACTCGGGCTAGCCAGATGTTTAGCTAGGAGGCGTGTCGAGTACTTTGGACTTGAGTACTCGTTTGAGGATGAGCATACCAATTGTGAGTTTCACACTTGAGGAGGAGATTGTTAGGATATTCAAATGTGATGAGTCCCACATTGGTTAGTAATAGGTTAAGTGAAGTGGATATAAGAGGATGGATCCATGAACCTAATGTCTTAAGGCTTTTGGTTGTAACATTGTCAGAACCACTTGTTATGCTTGCCTAGCTTAGCCATAATGATACGCAAAACTTTTAATATACTATGAAACCATAATGATCTCTTGATAAAACTTTTAAGAGGTAATCTGGCAAAGGATGATATAATAAAACTGAACCCCACTAATGATACGCAAGGCAAATCGTGCTTGGCTACAATTAAAAGAGAAGTCCAATCAATACAATGGATCCCATAGATTGTGTATCTGACACCGTTAGAGATAAACTAACCCACAGCTTTATTATAACTTGCACTAAACATTAGTGTACTCTATTCGCTACTACACTGAAAAATTGTTGAGATTGCAAACAAAAAGTTTGAAACAGTTAATATGTTTGATCAGATAGTAATTAGAAGCCTTTTAGAGCTAGCTAGTTGTGATACTAATTCTAAGCAAAAAACTGTGGTTTGATGAAAAATTATGCTGCTGCCAAAGTGTATTCTGACTCATTATAGCTTTTCACTGTTGTTTAGTGGAAACTTTATACGAATGCAAAAGCAGAACTTTAAACAGTGGTCTCGGATACTTAAAAACTTATCTAAGTGCTCTGCATAGTGGGTTTTGTCTTAATCCTCGCTCTTGGTGTTTATAAGGAAGGCCATTTCATACACTCGATAGCATAGGGTCTTCAACTTTTCATGCATATAGCAACATTTATTATATTGTCTCAAACACAGTAATGGAAAAAATATGTGGTGCCAGTTTTGGCAAAATGTGCAACCAGGCAAAGCCTTATTTGTTAACTGTGGGGTTGCAATTTGGGATGGCTGGAACATACATATTCACCAAGGCAAGTCTGAATCATGGAATGAGTCGTTTGGTGTTCATTGTCTATCGCAATGCCATTGCTGCATTTGCCCTCGCTCCTTTTGCATTGATATTTGAAAGGTGCTACTCATTTTGTGGTACTTTTGGTTTCACTTACTCTTATGCTTTTTAGAAGCAGATATATCTGAGGCTATTCTTTTGAGCACATAGTCAATATCCGTCACAAAATATGGAGTTTACTTTGTTTTAATAACAATCTTAATACAATTTTTGCAGGAAAACTAGGCCAAAGATGACAATCTCTGTCTTCATACAGATACTAGCTCTTGGATTTCTGGAGTAATTATCCGAAACTTATGTACTAGTACTACTAACATGACATATAACATACACGAGAATTTGGAGAAGAACCCGTTTAGTTTAGACCTATTTACGTAGGCACCACCTCAACTACTTTATTTCAATCACACCCCACAACTTTAATAACTATATTAATTTAACTTGTTATCCACGTAACATATTTTTCATTATTAGAGAAAAAGATGGAGGGAATGGGTTTATGTAACGTGTCACGTTATTATTAGTGATGTGAAAAATAATCAAAAAAACCAAACCGAACTGTGAACTGAACTGAATTGCATTTAAAATAATTGGTTTTTAAAAACCAGTTCATGAGCCGAACTAATTTTTAAAAAATCAGTTTATGAACTGAACTGGTTTTTAAAACCGAATCGTTTTTGAATCGAAGCAAACCATTTTTGAACCGAACAAAATTGAATTTTATTACTTTATTTCTTTAATTTTTATTTTATTTTCTTTTCAGAATAGGGTCGACCCGAATTAATTTTGAGCCGAAAGGAACTGCTTCCAACCGAATCGAACATTTTTGAACCGAACCATTTAAACCAAATCAATTCGGTTCTTCAAAAAATTCAGTTCAATTCGACCCATGACTTCTCTAGTTATTATGTTTGCCGTTTATATACCTACCCTATCTACTTCTTTCCAATACCATTAGATCAGAATCTTAGGTGGTGTTTGGTTTGGAGTTTTTCAAGAGATATCTATGTTTCTCAAGTATGACTTTTAGAAACACCATGTTTGTTTCAACATATTTTCACCAAAAATCCATCTATGCAATTTGTATGGATTTATGAGAAACATAGATATCCGCACTGTTTAGAAACCTAATTTGAAGGTGGAATTTTTTGAAAAACCGGTTATCTCACTTTTAATGCACTGTTGATTTCATAAAGTTACCTAATTTTCCCAGTAAAACTTTTCTCCACCAAACAACTTTTTTCTACCTATCTCACTTTCCAATCATTTCTCTATCTATTACATTCTCTACTATTCCAAAAAAAATTCCTTAACCAAACGCCCCTTTAAGAAGAAAGAGAAAGGATGAAGGTTAGTTAAGATTCGAATATAAGAAATTAGCATGTAGACATGAAAAAACTGAGAAGAGTGAATTTTGTGTACTCTAGTCAAACTTACGGCAATTTTTGTGCCTGTTGATAATTGTCCTATGTATTTGATATTATAGGCCAGTGATTGACCAAGGCTTCACTTTCTTGGGGATGCAATACACTTCGGCTTCATTTGCCTCTGCTGTTATGAATGCCGTACCCTCTGTAACCTTTGTGCTCGCAGTAATCCTCAGGTGAAGTTCAATGTACTGAAGATAAATTTACTTTTCTTTCAACAATTCTTTGAAAATTATCTTGACACTTATGCATAGCCTTACGATATCAGCTTATTTCTTAATTGATTTATGACTAGTGTTTATAATATGTGCAAGTACAAAACAATGCAATCTTAATGGACAGTGTATTCCCAACAATCTCTGTTGGAAAATTATGTATACTATATTGTATTGTGTCAGGTTAGAGCGTGTAAAAATCAAAGAGTTACGCAGTCAAGCGAAGGTGATTGGAACATTGGTAAGCTTTGGTGGGGCTTTGTTAATGACCCTTTACAAAGGCCCTCAAATGCACCTATTTCATCATTCAAACACAACACACCAGCAAGATGGAAGTCTCTCTCCTCAGAGTCACACAAACTGGGTCAAAGGAACTCTCTTTATATGCCTTGGTTGTGTGGCTTGGTCTTCTTTCTACATTTTGCAGGTAGTTATGAATTAATATAATATATCAAATTAATTAGGAATGTGAATGAATATTGTTATGCTCTAATGTACAATAAAATGTGAACGTATAAGAGCAGTCCATAACGGTGAGAAAGTACCCTGCGGAACTATCATTATCATCCTTGATATGTTTGATGGGTGCATTGCAAAGTGCCGTGGTTGCGCTTGTAGCAGATCATAACTCTCGGGCATGGGCTATCGGTTTGGACTATAGACTCTATGGTCCTCTCTACACTGTTAGTACAATAATTTACTTTCATCTTAATTCCCTAATCTATAAATTGATATATATATATTGGTTAGTCATAATAAAATTTTCGAAATTGCAGGGAATAATGAGTTCAGGAATAGCATATTATATACAAGGGTTGGTAATGCAAAGCAGAGGACCAGTGTTCGTAACATCCTTTAATCCTCTTTGCATGATCATCGTTGCTGCTTTGAGTTCCTTCCTTCTAGGAGAACACATTTATCTGGGAAGGTATTTCATTATTCTATTGCTAATTCAAACATATACTAAATCATGTGCTCTTATATAAAGTAACGTCAAATATTGAATTATGCTTTTAATTTTTATGATATTTACATATAATTCTATCAAATTGTGAATACTCACGGACTTCATAGTTATTTATCTTTACATATATCTCTCGTTAATTTTCTGAATGATGCTCTTTGTCTCTCTAATCATTGATCATAGTATCGTTGGAGGCATCATTATCGCAGTGGGTCTTTACTCTGTTGTGTGGGGTAAAGGAAAAGATGATGCAGAGCTCACACCACCATTAGCAACGACAAATAAAACAGAAACACAACAGCTGCCAATTACTTCAGCAACTAATAAATAACAGAGAATATGAGCAAATAAACAAAATTACATAAAGCTAGCTCAACTTTATGTTTGCTGAAGCGACAAATGATGCGTAATTTGCTCCTGTTTTTTTTTATAAATGACGTATTTTGCACCTTATCATAAGGCGGTATGTGTTGGTGTGGGTACCATATTAGCCATGTTAGTTGAAACAAGACTTCGTTTTTATTAATGATAATTGTTAGATCAAGTGTTCTACTGTTGTTAATGATATCAAAAGTATAAATTGTTAGTCAAATTGCAATTATATTTTCTTCTTACTTTCTAGAACTGTATCAATACGATGGGCTACTTCTATATAGGAGAATAGGAGTGTATTATATTTAAGATGTTAAGCACAAAAAAACTTTAAAATGGCGTGCATGATTTGGCCAGGATTAACCAAATCAGGCACATCATAGATACTCGTGATATTATAGCCTTCCTTTGTGTGCTTATAGTCTCTTAATGAAAGAGGTAAATTGCACGTTCCTTTTCATATTTTGGTACTTTAAACATTTTCCTTAATTACCTCAAAATAAAATGATTGTAACTTTTTTACACCAATTTGTTCTTATCCCTTGTCAAGTTTGTAGAATTCTTGATCTGATTTCTAATATTATGTTTCCGTTTCCACGATATATATAGATCAATGAAACTCCAATAATTAATGCATCAACAGTTATTTGTATTCGAACATTCCAAAAGGGAAAAAGGGACATTGTGATTATTTCTATTCAGATTCTTTTTACATATCACTTAAAAAAGTTAGAATAAATTTTAAAGAATAAAAAGGGAAATAATAATGTATATAGTCATTATATTACATACAATTTTTTATATATTAAAAAGCTTTGATATAGCATTATGCTAATTGAAAATCAAAAAATACCTACGAAATTTTCTATATGCATAATATTTTATATGTATAGTATTTAATATACATCTAAAACTGTAAGGCATATGTCACATTTATAATGACCCTAACTGGTAAATCTTAGTTAGAGATTTAATTTAAGGATTTAAATGCCATAATTAGATTCAGTGAGCGATTTCGAGTATTTTGACTGTAATCATGACTATGTTATGAACAGTGCGTTCTGCCGGAGAATTTACAGTTTTGTGAATTAACCGGTAGAGCTTAAATGAGCAAAATAATTTTTGGAACATAATTTGACAATTCTGATGACAAATATGAGTTCAGAACGAAAAATTGTATAGTCTAGCACTTTCCGTGAAAATCTCGTGAATAGTGTTTCTACCGGGTATTTTGTACTGCTGTTTAAGCAACCGGTAGAGTCCAGAAGCAAATAATTGATGAAATAAGAATAAGAAATCCAATATATGCCAAGCAAGTCAATATAGGCCCAAGAAAATAATAAGTTTATAAGTTTTAAGTTCAGAAGTGAGCGAAGTACAGTTAGTGATTCACAGTGCATTTCGTGAAAAAATGGTGCAGAAATCATACTGTGAATTATGAATATTGTTTTGTAACAAATAAAAATTAATGTAAATGATTTTAGAAAAATAAAAATATGTTCGTAGCTTTAAGTTAGTTCCGGGTCAATTTAAGTTAAAATACGCGATAAAAAAACATCCGATGAAAAGGGCCACATGTGCCTATATAGCCTTGTCACTTAAATGAAACACTATTCATTTCAGATTTTCTTCTTCTCTCTCTTGCATGGCCGAGCTGCACATGGAGGGGAAGGGGCTAGGGTTTCAAATTTTCCTTCTTTGATTTCTTCATCATCCATCCACCAAATCCAATGACCCACCACATGAAATTGATTGGAAACCACTCAATGAATCCATTCCACCTATCCATTTGAGCTATAGTTGAGTGTGTGAAGAGTTATTCCTCCTCTCATTTTCGAGTTACTATTCATTGGAGGAGAAAAAGTGAGTTTTTGATGGAGCTTGGCTTGGAGGTTGCTTTTTAGGCTTTGGGAAGTTGATTAGTGGTAAGAAACCTTTGTTTCCATGATGTTATTTTGATGGTTTGTGTCATAGAAATTGTGAGCATGTGTTGGTGTGAAATAAATTAGTTTAAAATTTGAATTGATGATGTGTTGGATATAGGAATGTGGAATAAGCATATGAACATGTATAAAAATTGGAAAAAAATCCCATGATGACATACCCTAGATTTCGGCCTTGATAGGGTAATTAGGGGTGATGCACAAAGATTTATTGTATGTATTGGGAAGGTTTAATGTGCTTGAATAAGAGGAAATTTGATGAGTTAGTAAGAATGTTAAATTTGAAAGAAAATCCTTTGAAACATACCCTTGAGTTCGGCCTTGAAGGATTTAAAGAGCTTGAGATTCCCAAAAATTAAATAGGAACTTGGTATATATTATACATTTATGTACGTGTAGTTGTTAAATTAAGTGAGGAAAATGTATTGTAAAAGAGAAGGATCCTTGGAAATTCCCTTAAAGGATTCGACATATAGGGTGTTTAGGGAAAGATGTTGTCATATTTTATTTTAATAAAATATGTGTGTTTCAAAGTATGAAAATGATAAGTCATGAAGTGAAATGGTTTGAAAAGAAATCATGGAAAAATATATTGATTTCCTAATTTTAGGCCCACGGTCCTTTAAAGTAAAATGCTATGATTTATGTTGGAAATTCGTAAGGGAATAGATTATTAAATTAAAGAAACCCACCGGTTATAAAGAGGTCTAGACTTGTGTATTGGCATAGGATTGGCAAAAATGCAAAGAAATGAAAAGAAGCGATAAGATGTATGCCTTATGTGAAAGCTAGGCATGATGGCATTTTATTAATTGGTATTTGTGGATTCTTGCTCTAGGTGTACCTAGGGACTAAAAAGGAATCAGAATCTCTTGAAGATATATAAGTAACTTGTGCAACAAGTAAGGGTATTGGTAAAGCTTCAAGAGGTAAGCTCTATATTTAAGGAGTCTTTTCCTGCTTGAGTGCTCCACCATGGTTAGTGAACTATGGTTGGACTGTATGACTGTGATTTAGATGCTTTGTATAGATGCATTCATATAGAGTTATTTGATAACATGATATATTTTGCTCTGATATGACTTCTGTAATATGATTTCTGTAACAATCTCTGGCCATTGATTGTATAGTACCCGGATGTCCGCTTTGGGGTCCTCCCTCGGGACTGATGGTGTACGCCTCTGATATGTCTGGTTCCGCTTTGGGGTCCTCCCTCGGGAACACGTGCGTTGATTTCCGCTTGGGGTCCTCCCTTGGGAATGACGGCGCACATCTCTGATATGATATGAATATATGCTCTGTTATGTTATGATATCTGTTATATGTTGTATTATATAAATAATTATAATTTATAAAAAATAGAATTGTAATTTTGTTCCCTTCTAAATTTTGTTTGGCTCCCAATGGTTGAGATTGATATTATTGTTATTGAAAACAACTCCTTTTTATTTTCTATTAAAATAGTCCGAATAAAATTGGATGTTAATAACAATTATAGTTAATCCCTCTAAAATACAATATAGTTCTCACTTTTGACTTTTGAAAGTAAGATTTCTCCAAAAAATTAAAAATAGAAAATCATAACATAGTCTCTTGTTATGTTGTCTTTCTCAATACACACGAGTTTATCATTGTTTTATTTTTTATTTTTTTATATTTTTCAAAAAATTGCTAATTACTTTTAAATTTCCTTTTATATTTAAAATTTATTTTTTTAATAAATTTATTATCTTTCAATATATATTTTTTAGATTTCACATGAATTATTATGTATAATAACTTGGACAAGCATCGAGTCCGTCAAAATGTTAGGTTAATGAATCATTAACCTAATTCTAAAAATTATATTTTTAAAATATTAAATATATTTAATTTTCATTAAAAATTTATTTATTTTGCAATTAATTTAGAAATCCAACTTTATATTATACACTCAATCCAAAAGTCACAAAACTAACAGCCTATTTGAATTCAATTCTAAAAACAGTTGTTTGAATTTTAGAAAGAAAAAAAAAAGCAAAAACATCCTGTTTGATAATGCTTGTTTTGTAAAATAATTTTAAAAATTATAACTATTTTTTAATTTTTAGAATCAAATTGAAAAAATATATTTTTATTTTGTGTTTTATCTTTTAACCTTCAAAACAAAAACATAAAATATTAAAAACACATATTTATTAGTTATTCTACAAAATAATTTTTTTATTTAAAAAAAACACATGCAACCAAACATGAGCTGAATTTTTCATTTTTTTTTAAAAAAAACATTCAGCTATGTTAATGAAAAGACCAAATCCATGGGTGTAGACTTGGGTGGCTCGCTTTGGAATGCTTGTGAGCGGCGACAATGGCGACTCTTAGAAGTTGATGTTGTTCTGCAGCGTCTCTGGCACTGGGTTCTGTTCTGCATGATGAGGGGTCAAGTCTGTGGTTCGTGGGCGATGGTGCTGCTCGGTTTACGTGAAGAAAGTGAGAGACTGAGAGCTTTAACACTTCTCAAATTTGTGAAATGTTGTTGGAGAAAAGTCTTACAAATCAAATTTAGACTTTGCCCCCTCATCTCTAATCTTCACCATGCTAGAAGTATTTATTTAGAATACGATAGAAGTCAAAAGTTGTAGAAGATTATGGATGTTTGTAGAAACTTATGAAAGCTTGAAGACTCTATAATCTATAAGTATTTGAATCTTATCCATTGCCAAATTAAATCATGATGAGTTGTCAATCTTATCCATCAAATTAGAAGCTTTATGAAGTCTTATCTATATATATGAGTTGTGTTAAGTTTGTGGCTATTATAAGTTGTTAAAACCAATTTGAAGTCTAGAAATTAAAAATGGTTAAAAGGAGATGGAAACTAGTGGTTATTATAAGTTATCAAGTTCAAGTTGAACTCTTCCATGTACATATATGTGTGTGCACGCGCTAGGCATTTAGATGAATGAGTGAAAAGAAAGAAAGTGCATACACGTGTGAAGAAAGTATTGAAACATTTGTGAAAAAAATAAAAAAGAGATTTGTAAGAAACAGAAATAAAAAAAATAGATTTATGTTTAAAGACAATGCTGAAGCATGGTATGCGTTAAGAAAACAGTACTGCAGTACTCTTAGAGAGAAGAAGAGAGAGTTTGAGAAAGAGTTATTTTGTCTTTGTAAAAATTTGATATAATAATACTGTTGTTTTATTATTGTATTTCCACCAAGTGGTGTATCAAAGCATACCATTTCCAACAATTGGAAGTCTCTCTCTTTTCTTTTGTTACAAAAATTTTTAGTTGCAAAAATTAACTTGCTATATCTTATAAGGGGTGATTGACCCTTTTGATGCAGAATAGAAGACATATTTAATCGTTTAATTTTTTTGTCAAATAATAAGTGTCTTGCAGAGCACATACTCCATGCATTTAATTTATTTTTTAAAGTCGTGCATATACCCAAATGCACTTCTTGTAAAGGACATGTGTTAAGTGCTTTGGCTTTTCGTGTGTGGAGATAATATATGACATAAACACGCATACTTTCATGCACGTTTTATACGTATTAGATTAATAAATAATTTTTCAAAAGAATTATTTTGATCATATTCTCCATTAGAAGGGTCAAAAAGCCTTTTTAAGGGCATGTGTTTGAGAAATAATATATACATACACTTGGATGGGATCTAGTTTACCTTGCTATATCTTTTTAAGGTTTTTGAAATTTTAGATTTTTCTATTTCTTCGATCCAATCCAATTCAATCCAATCTCATCCCCTCATTTCCCTCTGTCTAAAATTGATGTGCATAGAAGGTTTACTTTTATATAATAAGCTGCAACAAGGAAATGGGAGCACAATAATATATTTTTTTAATACATAGTGAAAATAAAAGACAGAGCAAGGCTACTCCGACACTACCAAAAGGGGCCAGCTAACTCCCTTAATATCCAATTCCAGTTTCTGTCTGCAATAACTAGGGGGTTTTTGTGAAAATCAGTCAAAAAGGTGAGCATTGTTGAATAAATAAACTTGATTTAATTAATTTTTGGTTCATTGGGCTTAGTTATTATTTGGCCCAACTTCTAGAATAATCTTTAGGAGTAGTTTAACCCAAATTCTAGAGTAATCCACTCTAGATTACTCCATGGAAATATCTAGAATAGTTCAACCTAGAAACTACCATGGAAATATCTAGGCTAGGAAAATTGTGGAGAATTCTAGAGAATGATTTGTAGCCATTAGATGAGAATTGTGTTGGCATAATCCTAGCCATTGGTTAAGGAGGTGCCACTAGTATAAATAGGTGTGTCCTCCATCATTTTTTATCAAGCCAAAATAAGACAAAAAGATAACAAGAAGAGTTGTGTAGTAATAAAAGTGTTATCTTCCTTCATATCTTTCTAAACCTTTCCTTTTTTCAAATATCCTCCTCCCAACAATGTGGTATCAGAGCCTTAAGATCCTTTCTAGAGAAATGACAAGTAGCAACATGGTTCCTTTCCAAGTCCCTATGCTCACCAAGAGCAACTATGATAATTGGAGCATCAAGATGAAGGCCCTCCTTGGATCACAAGATGTGTGGGAAGTGGTAGAGAAAGGCTATGATGAGCCAAAAGAAGGAGTCACTCTATCCCAAACTCAAAGGGATAGCTTTAAGGATTCAAGAAAGAGAGACAAGAAAGCTCTCTATCTCATCTATCAAGGATTGGATGAAGATGCCTTTGAGAAGATTTCGGAGGCAACCACCGCAAAGGAAGCATGGGAGAAGCTACAAACTTCTTACAAGGGTGCTGAGCCGGTCAAGAAGGTACATCTTCAAACTTTAAGAAGTGAGTTTGAAACTTTACACATGAAAGATGCCGAAAGTATCTCCGATTATTTTTCTAGAGTCTTGACAGTGACTAATCAATTAAAAAGAAATGGTGAAAAGATAGATGATGTAAAAATTATGGAGAAAATTTTGCAATCTTTAGACTCGAAATTCGATCATATTGTCACTGTCATAGAAGAAACAAAAGATTTGGAAGCTATGACAATAGAGCAACTCTTAGGTTCCTTACACGCATATGAGGAGAAACAAAAGAAAAAGCAAGGGGTTGGTGAACAATTACTCAAGACACAACTCAACTTCAAAGGAAAGGAAGAAGACTTTGGCAACACAAGAGGACGAGGAGGATATCGTGGTCGAGGAAGAGGTCGTGGACGTGGAAGAATAGGCTTCAACAACAACTATTCCCATGAAGATCGAGGAGAAAGCTCAACAAGAGGTCGTGGAAGAGGTGGCTTCCAACCAAGGCATGACAAATCTCAAATCAAGTGCTATAACTGTCAAAGGTTCGGTCATTATGCTTATGAATGTAGAACTCCTGCAAGAAAAATTGAGGAGAAGGGGAACTATATGGAGGAAAATAATCAAGAAGATAGCACTCTGTTAATGGTACGCAATGACAATGTAGGAAAACAAGAGAATACATGGTATCAAGGATGGATATGGTCCAATCTTGATGCAAGTTGGAAGGACTTTGATAAGGCGTTTAAAGCAAAATATCTACATGAAGTTTGTTTTATTGATGATGACACAGAATCAAGCAATCTAGAATCAGAATTCGATACCCAAAATGAATTGGAGTTAGAGAAATCAGAGACTATAGAAGAAGAAGAAGAACGTCAAGAAGAAACTGAAGCTGATAATATTGACGATATGGAAAAAGATACAGAAGCTGCTGAGTGGATAAATAAATCCGATTTGATGAAAGAACATGAAGAAAAAAGAGGAGGAGAAGGTGACAGCGAGCGTAGTGGTGATCCTGACGATGTCGATCATGATGATGAGGAATGTGAGGAAGAAGAGGAGAATGAAGCAGTACTAACACTACCAGAATCAAAGATAGAACCCCAAAGAAATTTCATATTGGATGAAACAATGACAACCAAGAAAAAACATATAGCAACTGAAGAAATGAAAGTTGAAGGCGTATTCTTTAGAAATGTTGATGACTCAGAAGGGCAGACAGTTCAAGATGAAAATGATCAAACTCTGCCACCAAGTCCTACTCCAACAACTCTTGCATCTACACCATCAACAGGAAGAAGCAACAACAACAAAGAAATTAAACTAAAAGTGAAGCCAAGGAGCAGTAGCAAGAAGTCAGGAGGAGTACCAACAAAGAAGATAAACAAAGGAGAAATAATTCCAATAAAAGAAAAACAAACTCTCATTGATGTGCCAGAAAAGCAAAAGAAAGAAGATATTTTGGAGAATGAGCAAAGGGAAAAACCAAGGATTACTTGGTCAAATCTAGCAGAGATCGTTTATGTACCGGAGACGCCACAAACACCGATAAAGATTGTTTATCTTCGACCAATCCCAAAGCCACCGGACAAATGTGTTCCACATAATATGATTGGTTTACAAAATCAAGTTTAAGGGGGGGTGTTGAATAAATAAACTTGATTTAATTAGTTTTTGGTCCATTGGGCTTAGTTATTATTTGGCCCAACTTCTAGAATAATCTTTAGGAGTAGTTTAGCCCAAATTCTAGAGTAATCCACTCTAGATTACTCCATGGAAATATCTAGAATAGTTCAACCTAGAAACTACCATGGAAATATCTAGGCTAGGAAAATTGTGGAGAATTCTAGAGAATGATTTGTAGCCATTAGATGAGAATTGTGTTGGCATAATCCTAGCCATTGGTTAAAGAGGTGCCACTAGTATAAATAGGTGTGTCCTCCATCATTTTGTATCAAGCCAAAAAGAAAACAAGAAAAGTTGTGTAGTAATAAAAGTGTTCTCTTCCTCCATATCTTTCTAAACCTTTCCTTTTTTCAAATATTCTCCTCCCAACAAGTATGTGTAGCAAGCGCATAAGCTACACCATTTCCTTCTCTATAAAAGTGAGAAAGCTCAATTCTCCAGGCTTTATTGTAGAAGTTTCTTATACAATACAGTGATACACTAAAAAGTGAAGTGGATGTTGCATATTACAACCCTTATCAATAAGGTTGTAAAGAACCTTGGGATACACCACTCCAAAAACTAGCTCAAGGAATGGGAGTGTCTAAAGCCTTATAAAGATCACATTAGTTGCTCATACAACCAATGTGAGACTATATATCTCAACAAAAGTCTTCAGCTAGCTTAGAGTCACTCTACACTTGGACTTTGTTTAAATCCTCTATCCCAAGCTTCCTCTAATCCTACACGAATTCCCCAAAGCTCAGCCAAAACTGAATTCCCTCTTCCCAAATTCTTAATGATACTACCATAGCTCCTTTTAATTAATTCAGTGGAATGTCTATCCCATATTTTTAATTGTTTAGGCCTTTTGGCATGCATAGATTCATGTTTCACAATGCCCTATTAAACTGCCTAATCACGAAACTATTATTTTATAATTTCCAGCATTGGTTGTTTATTTATTGAATTATTGTTTTCGCACTATTCTTGATGTAGAGAATGCACTTGCAAAGTTTACTTCGGCTAAGAAAGCGAAAAAGAAGATAGAGAAGTTAAAAGAAGAAGGAAAATCAGTAAAAAAGCTTTACTGAGGTAATACTCCTCATCATTGTTGTCAAAATCGACCCTGCACATCAAAAACTCTGCTATTTGACCTCTTTCAGACACAAACCAGAACACGTTCTCTGATCTTAGTCAACTGCTTGTTTGATCTCTATTCTGTGTTTGATCGAAGCCTTTGTCCTCTGTTTTGCTACTCTGAAAGTGTCCTCTATGTTTGATTTGTAATTTGTTATAGAAATCTAGTGGCTGTGTTTTTTACATTTAGTGTTTTAGATTTAGCCTTTATGTGTTGCCCAAAAAACTTAAAGTTTTAGGGGAATGTTTGTAGGAGGTGAAAAAATATTTTCCTACGAAAATGGGGTGAAAAAATTATTTGCCCATATTTAGTAGTAGATGAAGTAAAAATATGATTGGAATTTTTTTTTCCATCGTTTGTTTTTCTATGTAAAATGGTTGGGGAAGATTACCATTAAATGGGTCAAATTGTTTTTTTCCATGTGGTGGAAAAATTAACACACAACATTAATAAAATTAATTCAATATTCTCAGAAAAATTTTAACCTATCAAACACGTTTTAGTAACTTACTTAGAAAAAAAAATTTCCTATCATATTTCCAAAAATTATTTTTTTCTAGTAAACTTTTTTTTTTTCTCTATCAAGCATTCCTAAGAGTTAAAGCTCTATATTCCTAAATTCCTCTAGAAACTTTCAAATTATACGTACTACGTAGCAAGGGATTCTGTTGGACAGAAAAGTTTTCTTAGCTATAATTTGAAATTAATTTCAATTAAATAACCATCAAATTCCGTATGGAATGATTAGGAAAGGGATAAACCATATATCATATTTTGAGGTCCTGATTCTTATAATTATAACCAGGCAGAAATAAATTACACTAATTGAAGCAACGGGGTAATAATTAAGAAAGCATATGAAGTTGCTTAGTATCATATGTCTTTGTAAACATATATATCTCACATAAAAAAGGTTATATTTATCACCTACTTTTTCTTGTAATCACTTTTTTATACTTGAATCAAAACCAAATTAACAATTACAAAATAACATTAAGTAAAAGTTATTAATTTAATTTTGATTCAATAATAAAGAAATTAGTCGTAAAAAGTTATATGCAAAAATATGTTGTAAGTATAACCTCTCTTATCTTACAAATATTGTAATTAAAATGGGTAACAAAAGATATCATGTTGGTCACTTTCTTTTTTTTTAGTACATAGACGGGCCGAAGGCCAAGGAAGAAAAAACAAAAACAAAGATTAAAACATGGAATCAAGGGTCAACAAAGGACCCAACGCAGAAGGAGCTTCATACAGGACCACAAGATGATCCAAATCCGGAGATGCATTCCCTGCGAGCCAGTCAGCACAGGTGTTCTTATCCCTGGAGGCATGGACAAAAGAGATATCCCAGTTCTTTTCTTTCCAATTCCTTATACTAGTCACCAGGAAGGGGAGGTTCGCTGGGGGATTTTCATTATTTATAGCATCAATAGCTAACATGGAGTCGCTCTCAAGGATAAACTGGGAGATACCAAATTCCCAAGCAAGATGCACTCCCTTCATAATAGCCCAGAGCTCTGCTATAAGCGAGGAGCAGAAGCCTATATTATAATTGAAACCAATCACCCACTCTCCCTTATGATCTCTAATCAAACCACCACAGGAGGCAATTCTAAGGTTGGACTTCCCAGCCCCATCTACATTCATTTTCCACCATCCAATGGGAGGCGGGTTCCAACGACCACTGTTGAGATTGTAAGAATGCCCACAAACAACCAGCTGTTGCCCCAAAGCACGATAGACATCAAAGAGATAGCCCGAGATGGTGTTGTTAGGATGTTGCGGTCTAGTAAAAAGAGGGGTGTGGATCTTACTATTCCTCCACTTCCACAAATGCCAGATGGATGAGATAAAGATGTCAATCCAATTAAAAACTTGTCTGTGATTCCAATTTCCAACCAGATTCTTCCTAGTCCAGGTTTCCAGATTAGATGAGAAAAAGTCAGGAGGAGGGTCCCAGACAAGTCAATTCATCCACAGATGCTTCGCTCTTCGGCAATCCCTTAGCACATGCAGGATGCTTTCAACCTTATTGGGTCAGGTATGGCAAAAGGGGCTTCTACCCCACTTGGATGTCCTCTCTTTTGTCAGAACTCTATCGTGTACCACTAGCCAGGCAAAGGATCGGAGTCTGAGGGGCCCAGGCCACTTCCAGATCTTAACCCAACGATTGTCTACAACTAAGGCATCAAATTCCTTTATAGATTCATAGGCTTTCTTAACAAGCTTGTTGTCCCCCACCTTATCTCTCCAAATCAAGAGATCTTGGCTTCTCTCACTAGCAGGAGGCATAATGGAACGAATGGTTTGTATAGTGTGCTCCTGGAAGTAGTTACGGAGGAGAGGCAAGTCCCACTCACCTGATAGACAATTTCTCATCTCACAACACTTCTGATTAAGCTGATCAAGGCTAAGGTCTATCGTGGCTAGCTCGCTAAGAGGGACTTCTAGATTAGCCCAATTATCTTGCCAAAACAAAGCATCCTCCCCGTTCCTCAGGTCCCACTGGAGCCCAGATAAAAAGGTCTTCCAAATGCCACAAATCCCTCTCCCAAAGCTAGAGTCATACTTTTTGCAATTGACAGCTCTTCTCCAATCAATCTTTCTTCCATATTTTTTCAAGAGCACCATAACCCAAAGCTGATCTTGATTATTCAGCATTTTCCAAGCGATTTTGTGCAAAAAGGCTTCATTATGGGCTAGAAGCTTAATAATTCCCAGACCACCCGCATTTTTGGGCTTATAGAGAGTCTCCCAAGGTATGAGATGGGTTTTCCTCTTCTGAGTAGAATCGCCCCAGACAAAGGCTCTCTGCATCTTCTCAATCTCTTGGCAGATCGTGGTTGGCAGGATACCATGTTGTATATGGTATACTGGAATCGAGCTCAATACTGATTTTGCTAGGGTGGTCCTACCCGCGAAAGACAAACAACTTCGCTTCCAACCAGCTAACCCTTGTCTGACCCTATTGAGGACTCCATCATAATTACATTTCCTACCCCGTCCATGGTAGAGGATGGCTCCAAGGTACTTCCTCAACGTGTTGGCTTTCCAAAAACCGCTAGCTTGAATAATTGCATCTTGGACATTCTCCATCGTGTTCCTGGAAAAATAGATGACCGTTTTCTCAATGCTAACTTCCTGGCCAGACATTTCGCAGAATTCCTGAAGGCAGCCAAGCATCACATTCAGCTGGTCTAGACTCGCTTCACCAAACAGGACAAGATCGTCAGCAAACATAAGGTGAGAGATTTGAGGGCCCTGTCTTCCAGCCTTCATGGGCTTCCAGGTCTTGTTTCTGATTTTCTCCGAGATAAGATGCGAAAGTTTGTCCATACACAAGGCGAACAGGTAAGGGGATATCGGGTCTCCTTGGCGAATGCCTCTAGAGGGGGAGAAGGTGGGGGACGTAGCTCCATTCCACATCACTTGAAGAGTAGGGGAAGAGATGCACTCATGGAATAAGTTGCAAATCTTTTGAGGAATCCCTACCTCCATCAGGACCCTGTTGATAAACTCCCAATTGAGCCTGTCATAAACTTTAACCAGGTCAATTTTAATGGACATGTAGGCCTTCCTGCCTTGTTTCCTATTCATCGAGTGGGTCATTTCTTGAGCAATTATCACATTATCATGGATATTGCGCCCTGGGACGAAACTCGATTGGAAAGGAGAGATCAGCTTATTCAGGATTGGTTTTAGTCGATTGACTATGATCTTTGTCACTGCTTTGTATAGAACGTTACAAAGAGAGATGGGACGGAACTGGCTTATGTTCTCAGGTCTATCTACCTTGGGGATCAGCACGAGAAGGGTATTGTTA